CATCTGGGCCCCTCCCCAGTGGTGCCAAGAGTCTTGGACCTCTCAAGACACCCAGCAGCCTTGGGACAACCCCAGATCTCTGCCTGAGAGGCTGGGATTCCCCCCCTTCCTTCCCTTCCTTTCCTCCTTTTTTTTTTTTTTTTTTTTTTTTTTTGAGAGAGGTTTTTGCTATAGGGCTCAAATGCTCACCAGGCAGAGAGACAGAAAGTGAGAAATTACCCCCCCAGGGGAGATGGTCATGCCACAATCCCTTCTCCTCCATTCTCCTCTCAGGATCTTCGGCACGCACGCACATGCGCCCAGTGTGAGTTTAAGCCACCAGGTCCGGGACTCGAACCGTGATCAACTACATGGGAGTTCAGCAACATAGCCGTTATGCTAAATGCTGGTCCCCGCAAAGTCATCTCCTTTCTAAATCACCACAGTATCTAGAATATCTTTCTTTTTTATTCCTTTGCTTAAGTATTTCACTTTTTATGTATAGCTTTTAAAAATGATACCACCCATTTGGGAACAATATATTGAATCACAATATTGGCATTTAAATTTGATCCCTGAATCACTTTCTTCCATGGTCACTGTCTGAAGAACATCAGGAGAAGTGATGTGCTTTAGAAAAAAAAAAAAGAGTTCATAAATATTCCCAGTGGAAGAGGTGATTCAATGAAAAAACTTTGATCTAAGTTAGTATGTGTCTACTTAGAATCTGACATAATATCTAAGTACTAGAATATATTGATAACTAGAGTTTGACTTTTTGAACTCCAATTTTCTCATTTGTAAAATTAAGGATTAGATTAAATGACATCTGTGATCCTTGATGTTGCTAATTTTACAAATTGATTGGTTGTATTCCTTTAGGTTGGTCAAGGATATGATAGAAACATCTACTCAGCTATTCAAATCACTATACATAGCCTGTTCTCCTGAATAATCGACTCTTTATTTTTCTCATCAACAACCCTGGAAGAAAAGTTGGTCAAAATCTTGCGCATATATATGCACATCAGAATATAGGTATCTCTATGGTCAACCAGGAAAGAGCCTCATTGGCTGTTTCTGAACTGATAAGACAGGAGCTGAAAATCGGTCTAGGAAAACTTTGCATTTATATAACTTTAATTCTTAAAGTTTCTTTTATCATTCACTTTCTTGATTTTACCCTCATAAGGGTTAAAGTAATAGCTCATCTTACTGAAGTAGGAACTGAAGCATTCGGATAAAGAATTGTCCAAATTTATACAGTCATATAATGACAGAACTCAGAATTTAGATAAATTAACTCCAATCCTATCCTGGTTACAAAACAGTCAACCATTTTGATTAATAAAATTAAATCCTTCAATGTCAGTTTTATGCTTTTTTTTCCCTGATAATTTTTCAGAACAAAGAGTTCATGTAATTCCTCATTGAAATTCAATTAGAGTGCTCTGCAAAGTGAAAGAGAGAATAAATCATTTCAGATGCTTTGATAGCTTCTTGGAACAATTGGAACCACATAATGAATCTAATAGAAAGGTATACAGATTTCCCTGAAAATGAAATATTCACTTTTGCCTATCTGAGAAAATTATTGTGCTCGGCTTCATGTGTTAGTCCTGTGGCCAGTGAGCCAGGTGTATAATTAGGAGATCCATGAGAACATCTTCTGTAGGAAGACCGAAACACTTCTCATAGTCTGCACTAGTGCATTTCTCTTCTTATCAGAAATCAGTACAGTGGAAACTCCTAAATCCAGATGTCAACTTTCCCACTTGAAACAGTGGGCAACTAACTTCAGGGCTTAAGTGTCTTAAGATTAAAATAAAAATAATAATGTTTGTTGTGAAGTTTTAATAAATTAAGTCAAGTAAAGTACTTACAAAAACCTGCAGGCAGCAGGTGGACATAAATCATTATCTACTTGGTTTATTACCCTATTTTAAAATCTAAGAATAATGCCTACTACATTGTAAGTACTTGTTTTTACTGGTCTCAAAATAAAATACAGACATTGAGAATTTAATTTTTGTTTACACACAAATATTTAAAATAACTGTATTATATAAAATTTTAACATCCCTTATAGAGACTTTCAAAAACCTTCATTGAACAAATATAATTTACCTCACTACTCAAAAATCATTTTCTTTTTCTTTTTCTTTTTTTCTTTTAAAGAAAAAGTGGTTTAGTAAGTAAAAGTATACTCCTGACAGGTAGGAGCTGGCCTGAGCAGACAGAGAAAGAGTGACTCAAAATGCCATTTTTTTGGTTTTAAATATGTATACATTACTCTTTGCTCTGGTCAAAGCACTTCCTCAGCTAAGTACAGATTTTATACTAAATTCTATGTTTCTCTTGAGAAGGAAGGGAGCAGGAAGTTATATAGGATTTTCCTAACAAGAAAAAATATATATATATATACACATACACATATAGGTTTAATTTACACACACGCACACACACACACACACACACACACACACACAAACTGTAAATGCCTCTCTAGGTTTATATAAAATGATTGTGCCCAACAAAAAATGTTTTGTTTCTCTTGCTCCACACTTTAATTTGTGGCTTGACCAGTAATTAAAAAGAAGAAATGCCAGGCCCAGCAAACAAAAAGTGCATGGTTTGCTTCAGATATTCCCTTTATTACAACCATTACACATACTTAAAATTTTCTGATGAAAAGCAAAAAAAGGAGCAATAAAGAAAAAAAAAAAAACCTAACCTCTAAAACAAGCATAACTTGATACTTTAACTTTACTCTCTGCGACTGACTAGGTGGGTTACCTGCAAAAAGTCCTTCACTTCTCTAGATTGAGTCCCCTCACATATAAAATTATACTAGATAATCTCTAAAGTCTTTTCCCTATTAGTAAATTCTATTAGTCTTAATTATGTGCATAAACTTTAGTTACTACAGCTCAGTTTAATAGCCTGTAATTTAGTGTCGCAAGTTTCTAGTCTCAGCTCTTCTTTTTGTCCTTTGCTGATTCCCCTGCCAATATCTTAATTTTACTATCTATAGATCTGTTTGAGGCAGAATCTGTCATACTTTCTAGAACCTCTGTTCTCAAACACTAGCCTGCATTAGAATCACTCGTGTGGGGGCAGCAATGGGGCTGTTAATGCACACATTGATGAGTCCACTCCTAGACATTCTGATTCAGTAGGTCTGGGACAGAGTATAAAATGGGATTTTTTTTTCTTGAGACATTTGCTATAGGGTGCATGTGCTCGCTGGAGAGACAGAGAGACAGAAAGCAAGAAACCAACCCCCCCCCCCCCGGGGGGGGATAGCCACACCACAATTCTTTCTCCTCCATCCTCTCGGGATTTTGGGCACTCACACACATGCTCTTGGTGGGAGTTTCAATCCACTTGGTGCGGGACTTGAACCATGGTCAACTCCATGGAAGTCCAGCAACGTAGCCATTATGCCATCGGCTGGTCCCTAAAATAGCATTTCTTTCCTTTTTTTTTTTTTGGAGAAGTTTTTGCTGTAGGGCGCGTGCGCTCGTCAGATAGACAGAGAGAGACAGAGAAACAGAAAGCGAGAAATCACCCCTCAGGGGGGATGGCCACACCGCAATCCCTTCTCCTCCATTCTCCTCTTGGGATCTTGGGCACGCACGCACACACGCCCAGCGTGAGTTTAAGCCACCAGGCCCAGGATGTGAACCGTGATCGACTACGTCTGATTCCAGCAACATAGCCATTACGCTATCTGCTGGTCCTCCTCAAATAGCATTTCTAACAAGATCTCAGGTGATCTGGCTGCTACTGGCCCAACAACCATTTGAAGACTGCCATGCTACAGAAATATAAAAACACTGGTAAACATCATCTAAAGATAATTGAGGAGTGAAAGTTACCTCAATGTAACTGTGTGAACAGCCTCTCTGGCTTTCCAGCTCCACGTGGGTAAAGATGATTTCTACTTGTTCTTCTTGAGGTTGCTGTATAATATAGATACATTGCCTATCATTAATGAAAGGCCCAGCCAAGTCAGTAAGGAGTTCTCCCTCAGGGTCTGTGTAGTTCCCTCCACAATGCAGATCCGCTGAAGATAATAGAGAAGAAGAGGAAGAGGTTACATGGGTGTCATTGTCTTGGTTCCCAAGTATTTCTTTTTCATTATTGTTTTTGTTTTTGTGACATAGGGTGCATGTGCTAATGAGAGACAGACAGATAGAGAGATGGATAACGAGAAATCATTCCCTAAGAAAGATGGCCATATCACAGTCCCTTCTACTCCTTTCTCCTGTTGGGATTTTGGGCATACATGCACATGTGTCTGGTGTGATTTTGAAGGTGCTGGATCCAGGACTTGAAGCACAGCCCACGTGGTTGTCAGTCAGCCAAGGAATCCAACTGCTAGCCCCTGATCCAGTTTTTTAAAATGTAAACACACACACTCCATCATATAAAGTAGTCTGCCATTCATTATCTGGAGTTTTACTTTCTATGGTTTCAGTTATCCCATGGTCAACCATGGTCTGAAAACAGTGAGTACAGTATCACATAAATTTAGAAGGAGAGAGACAAAATTTATGTAACTTTTATTATAGTACATTGTTAAAATTTTTCTATTTTAGAATTAGTTATTGTCGGGACCAGCAGCAAGCGTAATGGCTATGTTGCTGGACTCCCACGTAGTCCAACACGGTTCAAGTCCTGGACCTGGCGGCTTAAACTCACTCCGGGCATGTGAGTGTGTGTGTGTGTGTGTGTGTGTGTGTGTGTGTGCCCAAGATCCCGACAGGAGAATGGAGGAGAAGGGATTGCGGCATGGCCATCCCCCCTGGGGGTGATTTCTCGCTTTCTGTCTCTCTGTGTCTCTCTGTCTTTCTGGCAAGCACACGCACCCTATAGCGAAAACCTCTCTGAAGGAAAAAAAAAAAGAATTAGTTATTGTCAGTCTCTCACTGTGCCTAATTTGTACATTAAACTTTATTATAGATATGTGTATAAAGGAAAAACAGTATATAGGGTTTGGTAATATCCAGTTTCAGGCATCCACTGGGGATCTTTAAACATATCCCCCATGGATAATGAAGGCCTACTGCATCCAATTTACTCACTTGAAGAGGCATATGCCTCTAAAAAGTGTGTTTTTAGTTTAACGTGTTTTTCTGATGTCCTCGTAGTGTTCAAAGAAATAGTCGCAGAAATGATGATGAAACTTTCAATCTACCAACCCCTTCTGAAAATTGCTTTTTCTATAAACTAATGCTGCTCTTCATTCCAAAAAGATCTGAGGCAGCTTACAGAATACATGTGACAAAATGAAATATATAACTACAAATATAAAACAGATGAAAGGAAAGTGAATATAGTAGAAGCTGTGGCCAGGGGGAAGTTGGAGATGCACAGAAAACCGCTATAAGGGCTTCTGCAATGACAAAAGGTTGGCTGCAGATTCAGCCTGAAGCCAAAGTAAAGAGAGAAAGGGGACCTGTGAAAATGTCCATTATTATTTTTCCTGATACTAAAACATAAAAGGCATTTTCTATAAATTCTCACAGGGGCACATGATGAATATCATGAACAGGATGCTCTGCATCTCTAAAATAAAAATTATGAAACATTTAATTTATTCTGTTGTTGTTTGTTTTAAAGTATCAATGCAAGTTGAAGGCATATTAATAGTATGAACTAGAAGTGAAACTCTCAGGGCCAGAATACTGGGGTCCTGGAAGCCAGCCTCTGTGAAGTTGGACTCAATCCAAGAATAAAAGAAGACATATCTCCAGAGAGTGTGCATTACACCAACAACCTCTCTCACAACAAAACTTCAAGCAACATTAGGGAACTGATGTTCTGAATTATTTCATTTTGGATGCCTCATACGTCTCTATCGTGATGTGAATCCCATAATCCGGAGACCAAACATGTTACAGTATTAATAACAGAGCCTTGAGAAGATAAAGAAAAAAATCTGGAGATATTAGAGAGATATTTTAAGAGATGTATCCCTAGTCTAAGAAAGTCATCTTCAGTATCACATTAAAATATAAATAAAAGAGTAGAATTGTCCTTTGAATTTATATTAAGCTTTTAATTGTCAGGTTACTTACATGGTGATGTTAAGTAGGTGATATGAAAGCCTTGGTCACTAATGTGGGTGTCAGAATGAAAATGAACTCTGGCAAAGGGACCTGTGGTTTGGAGTGGTGGAATAGAGAGAGTGGTGCAGAATTTCCCAATGACAGGATCCTGACGCAAGGGACCATCTCGAATCTGAAACAAAAGAATGCATTACTAAATTCAAAACAGCCAGGTTTCAACAAACTGGGCCACTTTGTACATTAATTTCAGAAGTCTGTCATTTCAAAGTGGTATGTGTATGGGAAGATTCCCTATCACACACACACACACACACACACACACACACACACACACATGCACACGTCCCGCACTTGGTTGGGTTCAGTAAAGTGTCTCCTCCTGTCATTCTTGATGCCTCGTCTTCTGACTGGATGTCAGTTTTAAGGCTGACATACACTTTGATTTTTTTCTCATGATGTTACTAATCTTTGTTTCTTCCTAGGTTTTCCCCAGACTTTTTAAAAAATTATTTGAATTACAAATATCTAGCTATCTAGAAGAAGAATATTAATATTTATAAATAAAACAGAAGAAGGTATATCAGTGATATCAATTGATTCACAACTTGTTCCAGGTATTTAGGAGAATCGGAGGTAGAAAAAGGAACTACAGCCAGATTAGGTCCAACATAAAGATGCTTTAATAAATTTAGACCATTTTAAAAGTACAACTTTGATAGTAATTAAGTAACACAATAATGGCTCTGTGATCTCAGAACTCTTTTTTAAATGTTGATTTTTAATCTATTAAATAATTATGTTGATGTCTCTATAATTGCATTGTAATTGCAAAGTCTATCCTATGTAAAACACCAAAGAGTAAATGAATTATAAAATATTTTAGGGGCTGGCAGGTGGTGTGGTGGTTAAGATGCGAGACTCCCACATGACTGACCATAGTTTGAGTCCTGGACCTGGTAGCTTACTTTCTCATTTTCTCTTTCTCTTTCTTTCTCTGTCTCTCTCTGGTCAAATTAAAAAATAAATAAAAACAATAACAAATAAAATTAATAAATAATAAACAAATAAAATAAATACTTCTTTTTTTAAAGAATATTTTAATATGATCAATTTTGCCCATTCAAATTACTTTCTTTATTGGCAGCAAAGTTATAGACAGTATTACTTTATTTCTATATTCAACTAGTTCCTTGAAATATTGTAGTTTGATGAGAAATGAGAGTCATTCAATACTGTCAGAATGATTGATTCTTCTATTATATGGTATCTAGGAATTACTACTCAGAAATTTTTAAAACCTTCCAATTTTAATTTTACAGATTTATTGAAAATTAATTTCACGATAACTCACTTTACTGCCAACATTAAAAAAAAAAAAAAACTACTTTGCTGGAGAGGCATTCTCTAAGGTTTCAAATCCATTATTACAACTGTTAAATTACTAATGACTTTAACTTTCAGAGACTCCATTTGACGTCTCATCCTTTTATCCTTTATGAATAATTTCATAGTACCCCATCCTTCTTTAACAGACTTGGGTAAGCATATTGTCTTTTTAGCATTACTGCAAGGGGTACTAAGATTTATGGTGACAAAAACACAGCAACAACATGAGAACTCAATCTTCTGAATGATCTCTTCAGTTTTCAAATGAAGAGCAACATTTTTGAGGTACCGACATGTCTATGACATGTGAATATAGCAGCCTCCACATCTTATTCTTTTACTAATGTAGGCAGGAGGAGCTCAGGCTGATTCCTCTCCTCTCAATCATCAGTATAGGCCAACTCGACTAACTGTTAAATTACTAATGACTTTAACTTTCAGAGACTCCATTTGACGTCTCATCCTTTTATCCTTTATGAATAATTTCATAGTACCCCATCCTTCTTTAACAGACTTGGGTAAGCATATTGTCTTTTTAGCATTACTGCAAGGGGTACTAAGATTTATGGTGACAAAAACACAGCAACAACATGAGAACTCAATCTTCTGAATGATCTCTTCAGTTTTCAAATGAAGAGCAACATTTTTGAGGTACCGACATGTCTATGACATGTGAATATAGCAGCCTCCACATCTTATTCTTTTACTAATGTAGGCAGGAGGAGCTCAGGCTGATTCCTCTCCTCTCAATCATCAGTATAGGCCAACAAGACTCACCACTTTTTTTTTTTTTTTTTTTGGAGAGATTTTCGCTATAGGGCGCGTGAGCTTGCCAGACAGACAGAGAGACATAGAGACAGAAAGCGAGAAATCACCCCCCAGGGGTGATTTTTCAACACAAAAATTGTTAACTATTTATCTTCATGGAACACTATAGCCACACTGTGAAGCTCCTTACTAGTTTACCATAGACAACTGATGATTCAAATTGGCATTGTGAGAGGCGCTCATTACTTAATTCCTATTTCATTAATTTTTGCTATTCCCATGTCAGGGGCCGAGGCTTCCAAGGAAAGGACAGGGGAGGGCTAACTGGTCTTTTCTCAGGTTTGACTGGAACCCAGAAGAAGAAGCAACACACTGGTACAATTAAAAAGAGACTTGGTAAAACTCAAACATTGGCCGCCTACAGAGAAATACATTGATGTACTGAATACAGTAAATAAATAAATTCATTAATACACATATTCATAAATACTTATGCTGCTTATAAGTTGTGGTCATCCATAGGAAACACGGAACCATAGTGCCCTAATCATCTAGTGATATGTTCTGTGTCAATATAATCATTTACCTCAAGATAATCTTTACTGCAGTCATCATGATGCTCCAGGCTCAGGGTCCCAAAAGTAAACGTTATCAGGAGGCCAGGAGTGGTTATGATGCTCCACACACAATCTCTTCCCGGGGGGTAGTTTCCAGGATACCCCGGAGACTTGATAGAACCATAAGTACCAGTCAGTTTACCTCCACACTCTAAAATAAGAGGGAAAAATAACTTTACACTATTGGTATACAAGTTATAATTTTTATAGAATTATCATAGTCTTTAAGAAACCAGACTTAGTTTAAACAACCATAAGCAGTTTTGGACACCTTCATATAATACCTCATTTAATTATTCCTAATGAGAAAGTCTTTCAATTCCTCATAGGAAAATACATTTCCCCCCAAAATTGACATTAAAAATTTATTATGTGGGTAAATTTTTTAAAAAATACATAAAATGCCACAACAAAACTAAAAGACTAATGACAAAACGTTTTATACTTTTAAAAAGTTTGCATTAGGGCCCAGAGGTGACACAGTGGTAACATGTGACACTCTGAAAGGCAATCAACTCCACATGGGAAGATTCATAATTCAAGTCTGGAGACCTCTCTAAATATGCCAAGCGGATGTGTGCCTAAGATTAGGAGCCAGCTGAGTAGGTCACAGCTTCAAGATCCTGTAGTCTTTAACTCTCTTTCTCTCTCTCTCACTCATGGAAAAATAAACCAATAGAGTTTTTTAAAGTTTCTTTAGTAAAAGTACAAAGAAAATAGATGAACAAAAACAACAAAAACTACCAAGTGGTCATTACGATGAGGAATACTACATAAAGGAGTAGACCATGTCCTCAACAACAGCTCTGCAGGAAATTTACTAGAAGAGCTTACAAAAATGCTGTTCAGTAAATTCATAAAGGATCTATTTGTACTCATTTTTTTAAAAGAGGATTTTTGCCTTAGAGCACATGCAACTGATGGAGAGAAAGAGAGACAGAGACAGTGACAGGGAAAGTGAGAAATCACCCCTCAGTATGGAGAAATTAAGTATTTGCTCCCAATGGGGAATGGCCATGCCACAACCCTTTCTCCTCCTAGGATCTTGGGTCTGCACACAAATGCACCAAACGTAATTTTCAAGCCACCAGGTCCAAGATTCAAACCATGGCTTGCCATGTGGGAGTCTAGTGGTGTAACCACTATGCTATCTGCTTGCCCCAGTACTCATGTTTTTTAATCCATTCCATTTCATGCTAATTTCATTATCTATGAACACAAAATGAAATTCCAATTCATTCCATACTTAATTTGATTTTAAAATAATTATTAAAATATTACATTTCTCAGGATCCTAAAATAGCTCATGTTTCCAAAATCTAATATTGATTAAAAAAAATGTAATTACCTCAAAATATTGCTTTGCTTTTTCCACATTTACACGTACCTGGTTGTTGTGTTTCCCATCTTATAGTAAAGCCTCTCTCCTTTCTTAAATGTTCAGAATAGAGATGAAAATAGAGAGCATTGTCACTGCTGAGGAGTTCAGGTGGGGTGCTAGAACCACAGAACCTTCCGAGTTGATAAGCTGCAGAGGAGTCACCATCATGAATCTGAAGAAACTCATGCGGACAGTTGTTTACTGATTCTAACTGGAAAAAACTGAAAGTGATACGCAAGACCTAAAAATATAAAGTATATATATTATTTTAATATATATAGGATTCATAATTTGATTATATTAATTCTTCCCATCCTGGAACATGGTATGTTTTTCCACATTTTTGTGTCATTTTCAATAGCTTTAACTTTTTTCCTTTTATTTATTTATTTATTTATTTATTTATTTATTTATTTACAGTAATTCACTGTACATCAATACAGTATACAAAATGAGATTTTCCATCCAGGAAATATTTTATGTTTAATTTAACATGATAATAATATATTATTTAATATATAGTCTTTTATATATTATTTTTCATTTACATTATTTAAGAGCAATGTCTATCATTTTCTAAGTACCCACCAACTCAAATAACAATTCTACATGCTAAATGGTTTCTGTTAAAAATTTCCGAGATTGGGCCAGCCCTGTGACCTAGTAGTTCAGGGAGCCAAATCTCACATGGAAAACCATGGTTTGAATCCCAGCTCTGGTGACTTGAAAAACATGCTGGGCACATGTGTGCATACCCTAAATCTTTATAGGATGGGGAAATAAAGGAGAAAGGATTATGATATTGATCATGCCCCATTGGGAGGTGCTTTCTCTCTCTCCCTCCCTCTCTTTTCCTGTCTTTCTGGTAAGCACACACGTGATCTCACACACACACACATATATATATATATACACACACACATATATATATATATATAAACAAATTTCAGTTAATATCAAATTGTGTTTAAAAATCTTAATGTTGGGGGAACCATCAGTTAGCGTAATGGCTATGTCGCTGGACTCCCACGTAGTCGACTGCAGTTCGAGTCCCGGACCCGGTGGCTTAAAACTCACGCCGGATGCGTGTGCGTGCGTGCCCAAGATCCCGAGAGGAGAATGGAGGAGAAGGGATTGCGGCGTGACCATCCCCTCTGGGGGGTGATTTCTCGCTTTCTGTCTCTATGTCTCTCTCTCTGTCTGTCTGGCAAGCGCACACGCCCTATAGCAAAAAAACCTCTTAAAAAAAATCTTAATGTTGGGGCTAGCAGACGGCATGGTGGTTAAGGGCGCTAGACTCCCACATGGCCAACTGTGGTTCAAGTCCCGGATCTGGCAGCTTGTTTTCTCAGTCCTGCCCCCCACTCTGTCCCTCTCCGGTCAAATTGAAATGAATATATAAATAAATAAAGTTAAAATTAAAAAAAAAAATCATTAAAATAAAAAAACTTAATGTTAATGCAATAGATTTACCCAGCTTTCATTAAACTGTAAAATACATCGAAGAAAGACACTTCAATGCATAGCTGACAGTGCCTCCAAATCAGAAAAATAAATTAGACGTTTTAAAAAAATCTATCATTAGTTACATTTAACTGGCTAAAATTACCATTCACAAAAAAATCTATACCCTTTTCTCCCTGAACAAGCTGTAGCATGTAGTATACATATAGACAATTCCATAAGGGTCTCTGAACCTCTCAGTAAGATTCTGATGCCCAGCTGCGAAGGTGTAGTCTGAGTTGGCATGGTGTGTAAGGACTGCAAGTCTTCATGGGTTTGACATCATGAGGGTAGGAATAACACTAAGGATACAGAATAGGAAGACCGTAATATGAAAAGTATAAGAGAAAAAACACAAAAATATGGCTCTAAGGGCCCAGCCCCATAGCAGTGCACTTTGCTAAGAGGCTGTGCACCATAGGCAAGGACCACATAATAGGCCTGGGCCCGATTGCTGGTCCAACCTAAACTCTGGGCATGATGGCGCATGCATGTAACCCCCTCCTTGGGGAGGTTGAAGCAGGAGGATCTTGAGGTCAAGGCCTGACCTGGGCAACATAGTAAGTCCCTATCTAAAACAGAACCAGGCTTGATGGCATGTGGCTGTAGTCCCAGCTGGGAGGCTGAGCAGAAGGACTGTGACTTGATGAGACCACCTTTAAAAAAAAAAACTTTCCCTAAGGTAAAGTGTTACAAAGTTCAGACTTCAAATAAAGTAATATTTTAAACCTCATTTAAAACAACAAAACAACCAAAATGACACTGTTAAATTTAATTTTCATCAGAAATTAAAATCACAACAGTTTTCAGCTAATGGAAAAGACTACCAGTCTATTTTTGAAATTCTATGCTAAAGCATTGTTAAGATCTGTTACCTATTATTACACCTTTTTCTCTCTTGAAGCTATTTAAATGTAAATAAATGTTCATGAATTGAACTCTTCTGATATATATATATATATAATTATTTTTCCAGTATGATGGAAAAAAGAAGATATAAAATCATTGCGTTGGGAAGAAGAAGATATAAAATCACAATAGTCAAGAAAAAAAGAGGATACATTTTCTAACAATTGTTAATAAAAATATCAGTTTTCACATAATAATTTTTTCTCAAAAGAAAAATTTTTTCAATGTCAGGAAATAAAATTCATGAAAACTAAATGCAAGGAAGGAAATTCATGTAACATACTCACTGGGAAATTTATCTTGGAATTTATTCTATTGTGGGGATACCAGGTCCCAAAGATCCCTCCCTCCTCAAGGAAAAAAATGTTTTCTGACACTTGTACAATGCCCTCTGTAATATTAGCTTGCTGGGAAAAGTTAATAGGATTTCAAGAAAAAAAAATCTTATCTATTCAGAGGCAACAGTTTATTTATTTATTTATCTTTTTAGAGAGGTTTTTCTTATTGGGCGCTTTGCTCGCCAGAAAGACAGAGATAGAGAGATAGAAAGCGAGAAATCACCCCCCAGGGGGGATGGCCATGTCACAATCTCTTCTCCTCCATTCTCCTCTCAGGATCTTGTGCACACACGCACACGTACCCGGCATGAGTTTAAACCACCGGGTCCCGGACTCGAACCACGGTCGACTACATGGGAGTCCAGCGACAAAGCCATTATGCTAACTGCAGGTCCCACAGAGATAACACTTTATTTTAATGAGTCTAGGAATTAGTTGAGAAACAAATATTTGGAAACATCTGAGTAATTAACGTCAAGTTTAAAAGCACTAAAACTTTCAACAACAGCTTGAATTAAAAACTATGCATACCAGGACAAACTTCTCAACTATTTTAGGTTCTGTCTCCTCATATGTAAAATGAAAATAATAGTTCCTGCCTTTCAGGATTATGATAGTTATACAATGATAAAATATCTGTGAAGTAGTGAGCCTGGTGCCTGGCACAGAGAAAGCATTTGATAAGAAAACTATCTTGACATTAGTCACCATTTTTACATGATAACCAACATAACCCTGAGTGATCTTTCCAAGAATACTGTCTCAGTAACAACTTGACTTGACAGATTAACTACTGGCTTCTCAACCAGTGCAGAGATGGGTTGAAATTCAACAATTCCTATTAAAGATAAGGAGTGGAAGGAAAAATTACTCAGTTTCTATTACTTCCCCTTATTTCATTTATAAAATGAGGATGCTATCATTTATTTCAAAGAGTTTAGTGTAAAATGGAGAAAGGTAGACAAAACATCCAGCTCAAAGCCTGGCATTTAGTAACTACTCGATACATGATGGTTAAATTATCATATGTACTTTGTGTAATAGATAATACATATTACATATATACAAGCGAATCATGCATCTGGACAAGAGATACTATATTTACCTTTCCCTCTTCAGTTTTGATAACCCAGAAGCAACTGACATCATGAACAAAACCAACATCGGGACTCCTGTAGCTGAAGCTTCCAGTCATCCCTGAGAGGGATCCCCCACACACTGCAAAGGAAAACAAGGTGACTTGTGCTACTCAGAGACTACTAAAGGAAAGCAGTTCAGTCCCTCTACCCTGCTGCTAAAAGATACAGAAAAATCGGAATAATTCATGTTACAGATAAACATGCCAATCCCTTTCTGTGTTCTCTTTTTCTGTCCACACTCATCCAAATCTCACCTCTTGTTCAAAGTGTAGCTGATGTCTCATCACTCCCTCCATGACCTCCTTCTGATTCTCTTTTCTCTAACTCCCTTCTCTGTACTCTAGGATGTTTGACTTTACCCCACACAATTTAGCTCCTATCTATAGTTCTTGTATCTTTTCTGCCATTTTGTGTGAGTCTTGTCTCCTCGACTGGAAAGTAAGCAGATAATAAGTGGAGACAATATTTCATGCTTTTGTATTTTTCCACAGGGCTTGTCATCATCCTAAACACATAGTAAGCTCTCAGAGGATGAAACAGTCAGAAGAGACTTTATGGAGGATGTTGACTGTGAAACACTCTTGAGGGACAGATATATCTGGATGGGAAACAAGAAAGGAATTTGGGGGTAGCTATAGGGGAAAAAATCCAAAATAAGATAACAGAGTGAAAATACTCAATGGCAGCACACGGATCAGGTGGGAAGAGAAAACTGTCTGGCTTGAGTAAGGCCATTTCTAGGGAATTAGCAAAAAATAAGGTTAGATAAGACAAGGCCTGATTATAGAAGATAACTGAAAAACAATTCCCAAAACTAAATAGGCCACAGGGACTCTACCCACTGTAGAGTCTAGAAAAGAAGAGTGACATGATTAAGTATAGTATTCTAGGAGGATTAAATTGCTGCTGTACAGAAAACTTTTCCTTGGGAAACTACAAAGGGCAATACCTTATCATATTTTTGGTTCAGAAAAGAAATGAAAATAGCAAATACTAATTTAATTCTTGTTTTGAAGAAAAGATCTCCTGGCTTAAACTGAGATTTACAAATATTTGCCTTATAAATTCTATACCATATCTTTAAGGAAAGACTTAGTCCTCAGCATCTGAGCAACTGGACAGTAAAGTAGGTTTAGTAGATGAACCTATAGAAGGCATCATTAAAGGCAGGAGCAGCAGATGGCATAATGGTTATGTTGCTGAACTCCCATGTAGTCAACCACAGTTTGAGCTCTAGATCTGATGGCTTAAAACACACAGAAAGCATATGCATGCATACCGAAAATCCCAAGAGGAGAATGCAGAAAGGATTGCAGTATGGCCATCCCCGCTGGAGAGTGGATTCTCACTTTCTGTCTCTGTCTCTCCCTGTCTCTCCAGCAAGCACACAAGCTCTATATAAAAATCTCTCTCTGAGACCAGAAGATGACATAGTGATTAGGTCACTGGACTCCCACATGGACGACCTCAGTTTGAGTCCTGGACCCGGAAGCTTCAAACTCATGCCGGGCATGTGTATGTGTGTACCCACGATCCCAGGAGGAGAAGGGATTATAGTGTGGCCATCCCTTCGGCCGGTGATTTCTTGCTTTCTGTATCTCTGTCTCTGTCTCTCTCTCTCTGTCTCTCTGACGAGCACACACACCCTTTGGAAAAAAATCTCTCTCAAAAATAAATAAATAAAACTCTCTTTCTCTCTCTCTCTCTCTCTCTCTCTCTCTCTCTCTCTCTCTCCCCCCCCTCCAAAAAAAAGGTATCATTAAAGGATAACATTTCTAAGCTGTGAATATTTATGGTATAAGAAATGCTGACCATACCTTGCTGGGGAATCTGACAGAGAGATCCAGTCCAGGAACTTGTGCATTCGCAACTGAAAGCATTAATACTATCAACACAAGATCCCCCATTCAAACAAGGGTTGCTTAAGCACTCATTGATGTTTTCTGTGCAGTTGACACCAGCCCAGCCTGATTCACACTTACAAAAATAACCAGAGACTGTGTCCTATGGGAAACAACAACATAACGCCATAAAACAAATCAATAGACAATAAGCTTCAATCAACCCAAACAATGAAGAAAAGTGGTGCTATGTGTTACATTTAATAGGTGTTGAACCATAATAAGGATTGCCCAGGAGTATAACATTTAATTACTAAGTTTAAATAGCAATTGCTGAGTATAACAAGTCAGATTTGTTTTAAGGAAAGTATAGGTTTTGTTTACTACTTTGTAAATCACTGACACAAAAAAATTCATTGGCTTTTTCCTGGGAAATGAAGTTACTACCAACCCTTTATCAGAGTTATTGATTGATCTTAAGTCTCAGTCATTACCTTAACATCCTTGAGTTTTATAAAAATGTATTATATAGAAATATAGAAAATGTAGAAAAAGGACTCACGATACATTGTCCATTTAAACAGGGATGACTCAGGCAAATATTACTGAGTTGCACACATCCATTTGGCCCATAACCATTTCCAGTAAATCCCGGGAGACAGGTGCACAGAGGTAAAGAACCTGTTCAAAAACAAAACTGGAAATTAAGTGTGGATCCACTCCTCAGTTCAGGTGCAGCCACTAAACTTGGGTTCTGCTGTCTAGACAGGAATTCAACAACAAATCCACACTCCTACAATTAGACAAAACAAGGTATGTGGAGAAAATATTAGAATCTTTAGCTTTCATTTTTTAATCTTAAGAAAGCCATTTCCCATTCTTTACATCTGAACTGACACTGGTGCCATCAGTCCAGGTGTCAGGGGTCCTGAGTTGTACACAGATGTGAGGTACACCAAGGGAAGGTGGGAGCACCTCATCATGGAGGGGTTATCAGGAAAATAGAGATGCATATGATGATGATGTCTGCTGAAAGCACTGTACATAGACTGAGCCCTTGGAATAGGTATTCGTATAACCCTCATTTTACAGATGAAGACAGAGCACAGACCAATTGTCTTGACCAAGGACACAGAGTTAGGATGGAAAGGAGCCAAGGGAGCTCCTGTTATAGTCTTTTCTATATACGAATATATATATAACACAGTACAAAAAAAATAAAGGTGACATTTTAAAATAGCAAGATATATGATACTCTATTCAATACATGAAAAATAAAAGAAGATGTAGTTGACTATTTTCAAAGAGTTTGCTAAAAAAGTTTTTTTTGTACATGACTCTTAGCAGAGAAAAATAAGCAAAAAGATTAATTTTTCTGACTACATAAAAATTTTAAAATTCTTAATAGAAAATACCACCATACAACTAAAATAAAAATAATATACCAGGAAAAATGTAAAACATAAGCCAGATAGATAATGTCCTTAGTATATATTGTATACATGCATAGAGAAAGCAAACTGTACCCCATAAATATGTACAGGTATTTATTATATGTCAATTAAAAATTACAATAACAAAAACAATTTGATAAATTAATAAGAAAGTCAATGAGCAAAATATATGCGGGATTAGGAAAAGTTGCTGGTAAAAATGTAAAATGTATTAATTATAAAAAATTAAAAGTGTAAATTTTAAAAATGGGAAATTAATTTTTGCCTATAAAATTGAGCAAAAAAAAATATAGTAGTATCTATGATTGTCAAAAGTAGGGTATTTATTTTCATACATTATTGTTGTATATATGGAGTGATACTTTTTTTTTCTTTTCTTTTTTAAGAGAGATTTTTCCTATAGGGCATGTGCGTTTGCTGGCAAGTCAGAGGCAGAGAGACAGAAAGCAAGAAATAACCACCCCTGGAGGGGGGATGGACATGCCACACAGTCTCTTCTCAGTCTTCTCTCAGGATTTTGGCATGCACACAAATGTGCCTACATGAGGTTTTAAGCCACTGGATCTGGGACTTGAACCAAGGTCAACTACGTGGAAGTCCAGTGACAAAACCATTATGCCAGCTGCTGGTCCCTGCATTCATACATTTTAAAGAGAGAGTTTAGCAATATACAGTTTGCTAAATTATGGAAGGTGAACCCTCTTCTATGCAGCATTACTGACGTAGTTTGTTGATTCTCTAGACCCATTTTTCCCCATCCTTAGTAGTAAACTCCTATTTCAGCTTCATTCCTGAAATAAGAATACACTCCCAGCCTCCCTTTGCAGCCAGTTTTTCCATACAGCTCAATTCTGGCCAACAGCCTAGAAATGGGACCAGCAGGTAGCATAGTGGTTGAGTCATTGGTCTCCCACATGGTAGACCATGGATTGAGTCCCAGACCTGGCAGCTTGCTTTCTCTCTCTCTCTCTCTCTCTCTCTCTCTTTCTCTCTCCCTCTCTCTCTCCCCCTTCTCTCTCTCTCTCCCTCTCTCTCTCTCTCTCTCTCTTTCTCTCTCTCTCTGGTGAGCACATGTGTCATATAGCAAATTTAAAAATAATAATAAAAATAAATAAAATAATTATTCAAAAGAAAGAAAGAAATGGAAGTGTCCTTAAAGTGGACTCTTTCCTTATTTCTCCTTTTTTCTTTCTTGCTTGCTGAACGATAGCCATGAGTTGGTTAGCTGGGTTAATTAACCTGGGAAATAAATCCTAAATTACAGCAAATCAATAAAGAGCATAGTGTATTGCATTTCCAAAGAATCCAAATGTACAGTTTTCTAACATGGTTACTTCTTGATCTGAAGGTCAAAATATGAATTGTCAGGGCAGAGGATTTTATTTTGTTAGTGTGGAATTCCCTTAGAAGATTGTATTCAAATAGCCAAAACCAGAGAGATGAGTCATCACCATGGGCCGAGGAGCAGGATGCGTCCGGGTGGCAGCCCCCATTGTTGACTGAGCAGATGTCTGTGAGTGTGCACACTCTTCCGTCACCCTGGTACCCTGATCGGATAAAGAGCAGGGGCATGAGAAGCAATGTTGAGAGTATGGGAAAGGGAGAATGTCAACCTGAGAATCCAACATCATGAGCTAGACCTACCAGAGATGCTCTATCATCAAAACACTACATGTAGAGAGTGATATAAATAATAAAATTCCATAGTTAAAAAAACAAAAAGACAATAATTAGTAACCTGATTTTTAAACAATGTTCTGGGTTGTTTCTAATGAAAAAAAATATGTGTAACACTACTTAGGAAATGCTGATGCTAAGGCCGTTGACTTTTTTAAATTATGACAGCTCTGATGTTCTTCAAGGTAAATTATAGTAGAAGTCTAAAGTACTGTTGTTTCATGTTATTAAAATGCAAATGTTATCCCTTACAACTTCCTGAGCATCTTAGGTAGTAATTCAATTTAGATTAGAGAAATGACTTCTTTCTAGAAGGAAGGGGAACCTACATGTATTATATGCCTTCTACTATGCTTGTCACTTAGTACTTCCTATGTAAATATCTCACAGGAGCACTATATTAATAAATCATTTGTGGGAACAATACAACAGCTTGTTTATAATTTACACAAAACATTTTTTTTTAATTCACTGATTTTACTGGCTATTTCACAGTATGTAAAGGCTTATTGTTCACTGATATTTAAAATGTTTTTTCTTTCTTTCTTATAATATAGTTGTACTAATACTTCCTGAATCTACAAGCTATGAAAAACTTTATGCATTATTCAGTTTTTCTCCTTAGACAGAAATCATGTTTAAAATGGAGCATGAGATTGTTTTCAAATGTATGTGTTATCTGTAATGGCATTAGGACATTTGGCACACACCTGGTGGGCAGGCCTGACAGTGGTAAGACCCAAGCGTATTCTCACACTGAACAGGTGGAACCACAGAACAACCACCATTATTTATTTCACATTCATCGATATCTTGGCAAATGTATCCATTTCCTTTCCAGCCTAGAAAAATAAGATATGAAAGGTTAGCTCTATATAGACAAGTTAACAAAGAAAAAATGAATGTCAACATATAAAAACTTGTTCTACTCAAGGAACTATAGGTTAAAACTCTTAGAATCAGGGCCAGCAGTTATGTCACTGGACTCGCACATGGCTGACAGTGGTCTGAGTCCTGCCTGACCCGGTGGCTTGAAAAGTTATGCTGCGTGTGTGTGTGTGTGTGTGTGTGTGTGTGTGCACCCAAGATCCCCAGAGGAGAATGGAGAGAAAGGATTGTGGCATGGCCATCCCCCCCTGAGGGATGATTTCTCACTTTCTCTGTCTCTCTCTTTCTTTTACAAGTGTATGCATCCTAGGGGGGAAAATCCCTCTAAATAAATAAAATAAAAATTAAATAAATAAAATTTTTAGAATCATATTCTGGCAAAGAGTTGGGCAAATAGGATATTTTTACATAAAGTTAGTTGGATATGCAGTTAATATAATCTAACTGGAAAGAGATGTGGCACTATTTATTATTGAAAAAAAAATATTCTTTGACAAATAATTCCACTTCTTAAAACTTAAGCTATTGGGGACAGCAGGCGGTGTAGTGGTTAAGGTGCTGGATTTCCACATGACTGACCATAGTTTGAGTCCTAGACCTGGCAGTTTGAAACTCATGCCGGGTGGGTGTATTTGCATACCCAAAATCCCAAGAGGAGAATGGAGGAGAAGGGATTGTGGTGTGGCCATTCCCCCTTGAGGGTTATTTCTCTCTTTCTGTCTCTCTATCTCTCCAGCTAGTTTATGTGCCCTATAGCCAAAGTCTCTTCAAAAAAAGAACACCTTTAGCTATGGTGCTAAAGCTACCTCTATATTAAGATAGAGGTATGTAGACCAACATTAGCATAATGGCTATGTTGCTGGGCTCCCATGTAGTCGACCGTGGTTCAAGTCTCGGACCTGGTGGCTTAAACTCACACTGGGTGCATGTGTGTGCATGCCCAAGATTCCAAGAGGAGAAGGGAGGAGAAGGGATTGCAGCATGGCCATCCCCCCCTGGGGGGTAATTTCTTGCTTTCTGTCTCTCTGTCCCTCTCTCTCTCTCTCTGTCTTTCTGGTGAGCACATGCACTCTACAGCAAAAACCTCTAAAAAAAAAAATGATGGAGGTCTCAAGATGTCTATTGCCTATGTGTTTATAAAACTGAAGGAAAAGTCAGGGGAGAAGAGAGATCAAAGAGCTAATAGTAGCCTCATTAGAAAGATTAAATTGAAGGGAAAGGAAGAGAATATCATTTCACTTTAGTCTTATTTTATTCAATTGTTACAGAAGGATTTGTATTGCTCTTACAACTCAAAATATTAAAAATATAAAAATGTTTAGAGACCAGCAGGTGGTGTGGTGGTTAAGGCTTTGGATACTCCTACAAGATCAACCATGGTTCAAGTCCCAAACCTGATGGCTTGCTTTCTCACTTTCCCTCTCTCTGTCTCTGTCTCTGTGTGTGTCTCTCTCTGGTCAAATTAAAATAAATGAATAAATAAATAATATTAGATAAATTATATACATATATATGTATATATGTCTAAAAACTTTTAACGCCTTCATAATAACTATATTCTTTCATCTAAGTAGAGTTTCTAAGAATTTACCAAAGAAAATTATTATATTTTTGCATAAAAAAATGAATGCACAGAAAAAAGGAAGGAAATACACACAAATGTGGTATTCTGAATAAGACTAGGAGTAGTTTTCTAGCTTTTTTTCTTTGTTTTTTAGTTTAATTATATTTGATAAGTGGCATGCATTACTTTGATACTTGGAAAAACAGGGTGATTAACAGAAAAATAAAAACCTTGTCTTTCCTTTTTCTCTCCAACAATAAGAAAAATAATGTAAAAATGTGTGGCTGTTTGTCCAATTTATAATTTGTAGTTTTTAAAGATTGTCAGTGGTAAATTGCCACAAGAATATTTGCAAGTTTTGTTTGCCTCTGAGAACCAAAGAGAGAAAAAGCCTTTACATGTTATTTTTTTCAATTTCTTGCTAGTTTTACAAGATCCAAATGTATAAACATGCAGAAAATCATGAAACTAAAAGTTAGTGTAGTCATAAGTGAGTAGAGTTCTTGGTGAGACAGACTAAAACGGTATTCAGCAGCTCAGTTCAGATCCAGGGTCAGGCAGTCTTGGGTTTGAATTCTGGCTATATAGAAACTATGTGCTCTTGGGTAAGTTATTTAACCTCATCTCTCTAAGGCCCAAGTTCTCATATTTTAAAATGCAAATAATATTGATTCCTACTATGTTTTGTTTGTGTCGTAGTTGCAAAAATTAGAGTAGTTTATACAATGACATTTTCATAAAAGAACAGAACATTGTGATATTCTGTGTGTGCTCCACTGAGAACACCCAGGGAGTATACAGATGCCTTATAAACCCCCTGAGGGTTGGTTAATTGCTTATCAGTGCATGCAGCCCTGTTCTTTGCTCATAAAAGTAACCCTACAAACATGCGTTGAATGGATGAGGATAATCTCATACAGTAAGAGATAAAGCTTGGATCCAAACCTAAGCAGTCTCTGAAATACAGAGCCCATATTTTAAATGATTCAACAAATGACCTCCCTGGAGATCAGTCTCTGTGGGGCTCTGATAAAGCTGGCTCTATTTACAGCTAAGTAATGGTATTCTGATGCACATGCAAGGGAGAACTACTGGACTGTAGTGGAGACAAAAGGAGATCAAATAATTTACCCAAGTTCATAAACATCTGGTTAATATGGAAGGTGGGGCTAGAATACACATCTTTTGACAAGTCTAGTCAGTAGATAGCCATGGAAATACAATGTTTGGTCTAACAAATTCTATGACTACCTCTGTCTGAAAGACTGACAGTACTACAGTTTTTATATAAACCTCCCACTTTTGTTGAGAAATTGATACAGCAATAAGGTGGTCTTGAGTTGGAGTTAGTTAAATAGGACATGAAACTGGATTCGAAGGCCTCTAAAGAACAGTCTTCTTATCCATCAGTAGAAGATTGGTTCTGGCACCTTGCCTGCCTGGCATGCAGCCTGGCACACGGCCCTGATAGTGTACCTGTTGGACAGGATCCACAATAGAAAGAGCCTGGGGTGTTGAAGCACTGCACAAGTGGTGAACAAGATGTAGGAAAGAGGCTGCACTCATCCTGGTCCAGGGTGCAGGCAGAGCTGTTAGGTGGGGACGTCCACCCGGCATCGCAGATGCAGCTGTACTTGGGCTGACAAAATGACAACAGTGTGAATAAAGAAATTCATGAAAATGAGCCAGAAAAGCCTTTGAAAATCTCACCAAGCCCCAAACTGTTTATCCTCTTTCATTTCCACAAGGCCAATTGAGTGGCTTCTCCTTTTCTTCCCATATGATTAAGCATTTAGACTAGACCATGCAAAAAGAGAAACATCTTTATTTCAGAGTAAGAGAAAACTATAATTTATTCCAAAGATGCCATGGAAAGAGCAACAACAACCAAGAACTGTAAGTCAATATAATTAAAGTCAATCAACTCGGCTTGCTATGTTTTTGAGGGAAAAACACCCATGTAGGCATAGGCCTTGGAAAATCAATTCTGTTTGTTTCCTTTCTGAAAGTCTCCCTACCTCTTCACCCCATCACTGGAAGGGAGCCATTTTCCATCACATGAGTAGAGAAAAATAGCACTAAAATGAAAGAACTGAAACTCTCATGAAGAGCCAAGCAGGCTGGAACTGGACAACCTTGAGGGTCTAGTGTCAGGTCATCAGGAGCCAGGGGATAGAGGGGTACTCAGGGAAGTTGGATCACAAAGTCGACAGCACTCACAGGAGTTCAAAGCCAGAGGAAAAAAAAAAAAAAAAAAAGTCTGTACTCCTTCAACTGCATATTGCCGACAAGACTGGCCCTGTGTATAACCATGTCTTGTCACTGTTAAACCTCCAAGGTCAAGAGAAGATCATGTGTCACAGAGAAATTCATGAAAGAATCACAAAATTGTTAGTATTCTATATGATGAAATCCTAACCCCTGAGACTAGTTGTCTGTGTGTCTCATCTTCCCTCGTCCTGTGCCCTACTTAAAGGCAGGAAGTGACTTCACCTCTGCACCTTCACAGAACAGTGCTCAGACCCAGTCAGCTCAGGATGAAGAGCTAATAATTACAGCTCCCTACAAGGAGTAACATTGAAAAAGAGACCCACCTGTCCAGCTTGCTCTCGGACTAAATCCTCACAGATGCCATGGACACAGCGTTTCTTAGAGCCCCCTTCGCAGTCATTGTATTTGGATGCACACTGGGGTCCATATGTCTCAGGTAAGCAATGACAGCTATTGGTTACACAAAAGCATAATGTCAGGGCTTGAGCTTCAGGTCTAGTGTCTGTGTCTTAGTATAACAGTAAAATAATAATAATTCAAATTATATATCAATGATTTTAACATGAAATTATAAACCAGCCATGAAGATTTACCAACTAGGGTCTTACAAGAAATCACTCTGCTCTTCTCCAAGTAGAAAACTGAGTAAAAGCATTGTCTTTGCAAATGTGTGAGAGAGTCGTACCACTACAAATTCTCTGGTACCAGGTCATCAGCGAACACTTTCAAACAGCAAATGTCCATGAACCAAGGATGATAGAGTTAGTTCAACCAAGTAAAGGGAGAGGTCAGCAAGTCTGTTTATCATTCATGCAGCTGGAACAGCCAATAAAGCACAGGCAACTTAACTACACTTACAGCTTCCAAATGCTGGCTAAGATTATGTATCCCAATGCAATGTGATGCCCACATTGCAGAGTCCATGATAATTATTGTCATATTACAGAGAGCTATACATCTTCTATCCATAGAAGTGTCTGTGTCTATCCACGAGATATATTAGGTCATCTGCAAAGTCATGACATATTTTCTGTGCAAAAAGGCGTTATGACTTTCCTGGAAACCCAATAGTTAACAAAATAACATGTCCCTCATAGTCACATTTTAATTGATGACAAAAATGGCAATTATTACATAATATGTAAGTTAGCAGTGAGTGTTTTGTTACTGGAAGATTTCAGCCCAATAATAATTAAATAAGCAAAACTGTTTTACACAATAGCCATAATTTGTAACGCTACTGAGTTATTATTATATCTGCACTGCAACTTAGAAAGGAACTTGTAAGGTATGAGTATGGGAGTTGAGGGAAGAAGGAATGATGGAGTCACAGAAGCCTAAGCTTATTTGCACAGGTCTAAGCACATCCAGTGCAGTGGAGAGCAAGGCCCAGAGGTCACCACCAGATGGACTTGAGCAGAACTGGCAGGGAGAGCCCTCACGGAAGGAAACAATTACTGGTGCCAAGGGTCAGAGTGAAGAAACAAGGAGTACCTTCATGCCCATGCCTGCCACCCATGCCTAGAACCATGAACTAGTTTCTGAGTATTCTGGAAAAGAGCCATTCTATTAGGCAAAGAAGCTCTCTTAACAATACACATTGAAGTACAAGGTGCTCAGCTAAAGTTAATGTGTGAAGGATAGAGCTGTTTGAAAACCATCAAGAGCCATACTCTGAGCACAGAATTTGCCAAGCTCGAGATGGACCCCCAGAATAATTGACAGCGTGGCACCTTCTAGTAGTTTCTAAGGAAGACGGTATCAATGAATAAGACTAGAGATAGAGGGTAAAACTATGCTAATCAGTACCCACAGAATCACACCTAGCATTGCCAAATCTAGCAAATAAAAATACAGGATACCTGGTTAAATTTGAGCTTCAGATAATGAATATTTTTTCCGTTTAAGTATATCCCATTCAATATATGACATCACTATTTACTTATTTAAAAGCAGTTTCATTAATAAAGTACATTTCTGGACATTCCAAGGTGGCCTTTCTCATTAAGATAAAGTCATAGATGAAGAACTAAATGATTAAACTTAAAGAGAAAGTCAGTTATTCATTCCCCACCTATGCCTATTTATCTTCCCCGCTTCTCTTTCTCTATATTTCTCCTCTTGTTTTCTGTTCTCTTTGCTCTTCTTTCTCCCCTCCTTACATAGGCTATTCTTACAGAGAATTTATTTACTCTTAGGAATTACAGAAATTTAGAACATTTTCCATACATATTTGAGCCTATGATCCAGACAGTTTTGAAACTTGAACTTTTGAACTTTTGTTAAAAGTTCATTTTACCTCCACACACATTTTTTTTTTTTTTGAGAGAGGTTTTTGCCATAGGGTGCGTGTGCTCGCCAGACAGAGAGCGACAGAAAGTGAGAAATCACCCCCCAGGGGGGATGGCCACGCCGCAATCCCTTCTTCTCCATGCTCCTCTCCGGATCTTGGGCACGCACGCAAACACTCCCGGCGTGAGTCTTTTTTTTTTTTTTTTGAGGGGGTTTTTCTTTAGGGGACGTCGCTTTGCTATAGGGCACGTGCGCTCGCCAGACAGACAGAGAGAGACAGAGAGACAGAAAGCAAGAAATCACCTCTCAGGGAGGATGGCCACGCCGCAATCCCTTCTCCTCCATTCTCCTCTTGGGATCATGGGCACACACACGTGAGTTTTAAGCCACCAGGTCCAGGACGCGAACCGTGGTTGACTACATGGGAGTCCAGCGAAATAGCTATTACGCTAACTGCTGGTCCTGCCCAGCATGAGTTCTAAGCGACCGGGTCCAGGATGCGAATTGCAGTTGACTATATGGGAGTCCAGTGACATAGTCATTATGCCAACTGCTGGTCCCTCCACACACACTTTTTTTAAAAAATCTTAAACCAACAATCACTAGGTTTCTAAATCTGTTTTCTATGTATGAGAGATCTCAGTGTTTGGGAATCCCTGATACAATTGTAGACCTATTGTTCACTTTATCCAATGTACTAACTCCCTATGCCTCAGGTTCTTAGAAAATAGCAGTGTCAATAGATGAGACTATTTTCATACTGTCATATAAAGGATTCCTCTATAGAAAGAGCTCAGAAAATTGTGTTTATCTTATCACTAAGTGCTTAACTATTCTCATTCATTGCTACAACATTGCAGTTAAATCCTCCCTTCCTTGCTATTGTCTCATGGACATGGGTCGACATCAATTCTGCACTTCTTTCTAAACAGACACCAAGTGTATTTCTTTCATTTAAGTCTAGATAATATAAGAAAAAAGAGGGAGGAAAAAGGAAGCCAAGTGAATGACAGGCTTCCATGCTATGATCCTCAAAGACATTAATCCTATCTTATAGATTAAAATTGCCAACAGTCACAAAATTAATAATTTGCAAAAAAATTAATGAAAACTTAGGTCTGTTTTACTCCTGCACCATTGTTTTTCCATGTTACATTCACATGCACTGAAAGGTGATTTGTTTTATGAAGACTTCGCATTTTTATGTGTCTTTTTAACATAAAAATACTTGCATGCAAAATGTATTCTCAAGGTGTCTTGCTACATCCTTTAAAGAAAAAGAGTAATTGGGACCAGCAGATGGTGTAATGGTTACGTTACTAGGCTCCCACATGGCAGACTACAGTTCGAGTCCAGGACCCAGTAGTTTAAAACAGGCCAGGCACATGTGGTGCATGCCCAAAATTGCAAGAGGAGAATGGAGGAGAAGGGATTGTGGTTGGCCATCTCCCCAGGAGTGATTTCTCACTGTTTCTTTGTCTCTCTCTCTCTCTCTCTCTCTCTCCTCTCTGGCAAGCACATGCGCTCTATAGCAAAAATCGCTCTTACATAAAAGAAAGAGTAATTAATTATATACTTCCCCGAGTAAAAATAAAAGCCATTTATGCCATTTTAAAAACTAACTTGTTATTACTGCTGCTTTAGCTACTAGTTACTAATCATTTTTGTAATGATTTTCTATTGCTGATTTGGTTCTAGCAGAATCACACTAGGCTTCTCAGTCTTCAAAACACAAGTGCATTTAGCAATTAAGAAGAGGTCAAATATACTTCCTTAGTCATAGTTTAACTTTTGTAAGAGTCCAGGGTTCAAGATTAATATCATTGACTAACTGAAAGAGGTAATAAGTTTAATACCTAACTACTACTTAAGTTAAACCAGACTGCCCACCTCACTTAAACCCTGCATGTTTTAAAATTCACCACTGACAGGAGTAGAAATAAATTAAATGAACTCATCATCATCATTTCCTTAAGAAATAAAGTCAGCTTTCTTTTCTAGAAAGCCACTAGATCTGAACCCTAAGTATATCATGCACAATCCATGCCTGGCAACTTCAAGTCCTCAGGGCTGTCTTAATCCAAGTAAACAGGCAAACAATAAGAATTAAGTTTTAAGAACAAATAGGCAGTAATAATTTTGGAAAGGGCCAAGATCAGTAGTGTGGCAGTTAAATGCCATGCATGGAGAGCTGGATCCCACATGGCCAACCCAGTTCTTATCCTGGTCTGGAGGCTTTGGGCACATGTGCATGCATGCACAAAATCCTGACAGGATGGCAAGATGGAGGAGAAGGGATTGCGGCATGACCATACACCATAGGGGGATGCTTTATCTTTCCTTCTCGCTTTTTCTCTCTGGCAAGTACACTTGCCCTCTGGCAAGAAAAAAGAAAAAAATTACAATGCCAAAATACCATACTGTTAGCTTTCTGAAGCAGTTGGGGGGACAGTACCTCGAGTCACAAAAATAAGTAGAAACATATGCTTTTTTCTTATTCTAGTCTCATTAACATAAAAAAGAATTTTTTTGAGAGAGAGATTTTTGCTATAGGACTCATGTGCTCATCTGAGAAAGAGAGAGACAGAAACCAAGAAATCCCCCGCCTCCCCCGTGGGGGACAGGGATGGCCACACTGTAGTCCCTTCTCCTCCAATCTTCTCTTGGGATCTTTGACATGCATGCACACATGCTGGGTGTGAGTTGCAAGCCACCGGGTCTGGGATTGAACCACGGTTGATTATGTGGGAGTCCAATGACGTGACTAACCATTATGCCATTTGCTGGTTCCCCTATCATTAATTATTTTGGGGAACCAGCAAAAGGTATAATGGCTATGTTGCTGGACTCCCACATAGTCAGCCAGGGTCAAGTCCCAGACCTGGTGATTTAAAACTCACACCTGGCACGTGTACATGCGTGCCCAAGATCACAAGAAGAAAATGGGGGAGAAAGAATTGCAGTGTGGCCATTATTCCTGGGGTGGGGGTGGGGGTGATTTCTTGCTCTCTGTCTCTCTATCTCTCCAGCAAGCACATGAGTCCTATAGAAAAAAAAAAAAAAAACTCTATGAGGAAAAAAAAAATTTATCAAGAATTTTCTAGGAGCCAGCAGTTAGCATAACGGCTATGTCGCTGGACTCTCACGTGGTCGACCGCGGTTTGCGTCCCGGACCGGGTGGTTTAAAATTCACGCCGGGCGCGTGTGCATGCGTGCCCAAGAGGAGAATGGAGGAGAAGGGATTGCGGTGTGATCATCCCCCCTGGGGGGTGATTTCTCGCTTTCTGTCTCTATGTCTCTCTCTGTCTGTCTCGCGAGTGCACATGCCCTAAAGTGAAAAAACCTCTAAAAAAAAAAGAATTTTCTATAAAACAGGACTTCCAGGTCATTACTATTTTCATAGTGCTTAACTTTTCAAAGGTCTTTACCACTGTGAATTATGAATCCATTTAAATAAAGATTTCTTTCTCTCCTCAAGCAAATGGGCTTAAAGAGTTAAAGAAACTGAAGGACACCCAAATCCAAAGCAAATTTTGCCTTCATTAGCACATTTCTGCAGGTACAGATCACTCAATAGCAGCTGAAGTTTTCCTTTAGTTAGCGTGTCCTGAAGTTTCCCAATGGGGTTTCTAGCCTCAGTGACAAAACCAATGAACAAATTATGTGTTAATTCTATTAATACATCATTAATAGAATTCAAGAAAGTATGTAAATGTTCCCTGTTTCACTACACAAGATTCTACAAAGCAAGAATTTAATCTTATGCTCACGTACATTTTTTCTATTTTCTTTCATTCCTTTGAAAAGTTTCTATCATATGTCTGAATTAGGAAAATGAAGGCATAGACAATCAACTGGGATTCATGAGACTTCATAACGTATTCCCCTATCAAGAGAAAGAAATTGGATTTAAATGCTCTGTTCTTTGATGTTCGCCAGCAAATTTATGAAGGGCAGAGACTGGAAACCCAAGTAACTTTGAGTCAGCCCAAGGAGTCCTTGGGCTTCTTTTACAGATCTGTGAAAGAGAGAATTCAGTGTTGCTCTTACAAAGTTGAGTCTGCCATTTAGGCAGCTCTATAAAAATAAAATGATTCTCTCTTTCGTTTTGTCTCTTTCGTATGTGTATATCTAGATGAAGGACTTTAACCCATGACATGCAGCAAGTCATTGTGAATGTTAAAGTTTTGTTTTGCTTTCCTTTTTCTATTTAGCAGGGGAAAATAATGTGCAGAAACAACAAAAACAACACCTCTGGCTTGATCTATGGATCTCATCCCACTTCATACTTTTGTCACCCTACGGGCAGTCAAGACCCTAGAAAATAATGATGCTATAAGAAGACCAGGAGTGGGGCAAGCAGGTGGTATGGTGGTTAAGGTGCTAGACTCCCACAGGATGACTGTGGTTTGAGTCCCAGAGCTGGTGATCTGATAATCACACCAACCATTTATGTGTTCATGTCCAAAACCCCGAGAGAAAAATTGAGGATTAGGGTTTGGCCATTCCCCCAGGGTGTGATTTCTCACTTTCCCTCTCTTTGTCTCTCTGGTGAGTACATTCACCCTATGGCAAAAAACTTAAAATAAAAAAATGAAGAAGATGATGGCCAAAAATGAGATTTAATTTATATCCTAGAGATCAGGAAAGCCACAGGTGTAAGTAAGTGCTAGGAGTTTGGACATTTGCCAATAATTCCTCCAAGTAGTAATTCTCCTTGATAAATGCTCATAAACAGAAATCAGGAGATAATGCTTTCAAGAGAATGAAAGATTAGCTGTACATTCTGGATCTGGCCCAAGCCTTCATATTTACAAAAGCAGACAGCAAGGGGTTCATTTAAATGAAAAACAAGGTCCTGAAAACAAGTGTCCTTAATAGTGTAACACCGGACCAGTGCATGACCTAATGGTTAAGACAGCTAGGTCTCTCATGGTCAACTGTGCAGTTTGATTCCTAGACCCAGAGGCTTGAAAACTACACCAGGTATGTGTGCTCCTGCCCAAAATCCCGAAAGGAGAAAGAAATGGAGAAGGAATTGTGTGATCATTCCCCATAGTGGGTGCGTTCTCACCTTCTCTCATTCCCTGTATCTCTCTAGCAGTGAGTATATGTGCCCTCTGGTAAATTGAAAAATAAAATAATTAAATTAAGTAGCACTACTAAATTCAAACCAGAAGTGATTAAATTTGGTTTTGTACAACGACTGAACTTATAATCTCCTATGGGCAAGTTTTAAAGGTTAGATGAAAAGAATAAAAGAATCAATTAAATGAGAAGGAAAGGATCATCGCTATTTTTTGAGAAAAAATTGTGTATTAACAGGTGATAGGCAAGAATAAAAACAAAATTAGTGCATTCATGTTTTCTAGAAAGAACAGAATGGATATTGTTATGAGGGACTTAAAGAACAAGATAGCAGACACTAACAGGAAAACAAGAAATTGCTCTTTAATTCAGTGAAGTTATATTTCAGATTACTGAAAGGATATGTTCATGCCACAACAGAACCAGCTTCTTAATCCTTGAATAGTCACAGAATACAAGAGACTAGCCAAAATATTAAGACAATGTGTAAAGTATCTTTTAAAAGTGATTTTAAGAAACTGTGCAAAAGTAAGTTTGACATTGATCTGCCATAAATCTTTGGACTTAGTTATTAAAAGCAATGTGGGGGCCTACAGGTGGTATAGTGGTTAAGGTGCTGGACTCCCACATGGCCGACTGTGGTTCAAGTCCTGGACCTGGAGGTTTGAAGAACATGTGGGGCATGTGTGTGTGCATGCCCCAAATCTCAGGACAAGAGGAGACGGGACTGTGGTGTTGCCAACATCCTGGGTGGCTGAGGGGGGGTGATATCTTACTTTCCTTCCCACAATCTCTCTCTGTCTTTCTCCTGTGAGTGCTCGAGCAGTATGACAAAGAAAAAAACTTTAAAGAAAAAAAGAAGAAAAGAAAAAGGTACGTGTGAGCTAGAATAGTTTGATAACCAATGTTCCTGGAGTATAATGGGAACATAGCAATATTGTCATGCCTAACTCAGTTTAGTAAGGGAAGGGAAGGTTTTCAGAGAAGGTGATACCTGAGATGAGAAGAAGAATGTTGTAGTCAAGTCATTTAACAAAATAATCCGGAAAGATAATAGAGTTGCATAATGTGATCAGGGTCCTTGTGGCTAACTGGGGAAATGTAATGAGAGTTAGTGCATTCATTGAACTTTGCTAAATCTCTGACCTTGTAGGGTTAACATTTTTACCTAGCCCTGAATGCCAAGGGTTCCTCTAAGCACATTAGCTCACTAGCATAGGGGATGAGCATAGCAGTAATGCCTTGGCCTGGTGGGGTGTCCCTTTTCTACTTAAAACCATTTCATGGCTGCCCCTTTGATGCTGATGCTAACACTTCCACTCATCTCATGCCAGGCTCTCACCCTCCGTGGCAGTCACAGTGGCCTTTTCATTCCTCAGGGATACTAAAGTAACGATTTATTCATGAGGTCAGAGTGAGGACTCACGAAATTTTCTTCATCTAAGTAAAAATAGCTATATATACACTGAATAAAAGCCAGTATTTCCCCATGGAGTATTATAGGTTGTAGGTAATACAGATAGTTAATCTTGGATGCTCTTTAATTACAGGATGTTTTAGTCCTTCAAAAATGCACCCGATATTTTAAAAAGTTACCTGTAACTCCCCATTGTGTTTATACACGTTGCTCCATTCTGGCAGCTCAAGGGTGTTCCTGAGTAAATCTCACATTCATTAACATCAACTGAGCAGAGAGGACCCTGCAGTCATGTAAAGAGCAAAGTCAGGTGCCACAAGTCACATCTGGGGGCCAATATTCACATGGTATGTTTAGGATTTACACACTAATTTAAATAAGTCCTTTGTAAAATGAAATACAGTAATACTAATACTGGGCTAGCTCCATGAAAGGACAGATCCCGGGAACCACTAGTTAGCGTAATGGCTATGTTGCTGGACTCCCACGTAGTCGACCACGGTTCGAGTCCCGGGCCCAGTGGCTTAAACTCACACCGGGTGCCTGTGCGTGCGTGCCCAAGATCCTGAGAGGAGAATGGAGGAGAAGGGATTGTGGCGTGACCATCCCCCCTGGGAGGTGATTTCTCGCTTTCTGTCTCTCTGTCTCTGTCTGTCTGGCAAGCACACACACCCTATAGCAAAAACCTCTCCACAAAAAAAAAAAAAAAAAAAAAGAAAGGACAGATCCCATATGGTGACTATGGTTAAAATTCCCACCTGGTCAACCTGAAATGCCAGGTATGTTCCCAAGTGTCAAGGACCTATTGGGCTGGAAGACTACAGAAAGGGCATCGTGGTGTGAGCAGACCCTGTGGAAGGTGCTTCTCTCTCTTCCTCTTTCTTTCTCTTTTTCTTTCTCTCTCTCTCACACACACGTGTTCACATATGTATACTATTATGAATAAGGAAAAAATAATTACTCTTATTCACCTCCAATCATTCTACCTTTATAATCCAGATTTGATCTAATAAAACCAAAGAAATCTTCATAAAATCAGAACAGTCATATGAGGAGACTCCTCATACAAATTAATCCTCATTTCACAATGTTGTTATACCTGGGAATACTTAATTTTTTCTTTTTTAAGTGTGCAAGTCAGGAATATTTTCATCATTGCTAGCAAAGACCAAGAAGATTTACATGGGTATGCCAGATTCATTCAATCCTTTCCAAGGCTGAACAACTGAAATTAACACAAAGAGAAATATCATGCCCATGCTTGTAAGTAATCCAATCAAGTGATAAGTGAACCCCTCCTTAAATTGACTTGGTTCTCAGTGGATTATATCATACCATTTTGGGTATTGGGGCATATATGGTATAATTTGTGGTGACTTGGGAGGCTACAGAATCCTAGAAACTTGAGGAAAGATAAATATGACTGAATGACTGTAAGGAAGCCATAGGTGCTCAGTTGCCACCTCTTGCAACCAAAGTTCTAATGACTCACCTTCCACTGCGAGGGGCAGATACAGAAAAAGGAGTCATGAAGATTGAGGCAGGTTCCTCCATTTTGACAGGGATTGCTGCTACAAGCTTTTTTGTCAACTGTCTGAAACAAAGACGGGGATGATTATGAGACGGTGGCAGTTGGAACAGGCAGCAGTGAAAGGCACGGCCCGTGTAGGTGGTCCGCAGAATCACAGTGGACTCCTGGTTGGTAGAGGTGATCCTCTAGACTTTACATCAGTCACTTAGGTTCTTTTTCAAATCAACGTTCGTGAAATCTAATAGTGTTTCCTATTAACAGTTCTGTTCATATTTAACTCTTTACATGCTTTTAGTCACAGATAGGATGAGGTCTGATAGGAGAAGATTCTCACTCTACTCTTTAAAAAAGTGTTGTTCACCCAAGAAATATGCAGCAGTGGATAAGAGTAAAGGTTTCAATGAGAGAATAATAATGGACATTCCTACTGCACTAAGAAAATAGAAATTCCGGTTCTTTTGCCTGTTATTCTTATCTTTGGTATCTTCAGATAAGCCTTTGAAATTTGATCATCTTTCACTGCCAGCCCTCCTCCCATGGGCTAATTAATTTGACTGAACTCCTTTTATTCCAAGTCTCTTTGTTTGTAATGTGGCCTGCTGAGATACACCCTCTACCCTGTGCCCTCCTGACAGCTTTCAGCCTAGCATTGTAGACAGACCTTCCTTTGTCTACACAACTTGGAGAATCCTACCCTATGTAATCTACCAGTGCTAATCTAGTGAAATTTTTAATGACTTTAGGGGCAGAGAAAACTTCTTTAGAAACACAAGAGGGTCAGCAAATGACATGGTAGTTAAGGTGATGGATTCTCACATGACTGACCATGGTTTGAGTCCTGGACCTGGCAGCTTGCTGTCTCACTTTCCCTCTTTCTCTCTGCCTCTCTCTGGTGAGCACATGTGGCCTGTAGCAAGTTAAAAAAGGAAAATAATAATGATGATGATGATGATGATGATGATAAATAAAATTAAATAAATAATTCAAAAAAAGAAATACAAGTGATTATGTAGTGAAAGCTATTCTATTTATTTTACCTATAACCTAATTCTTTGTTTGAAAAAGCTAAAATAGGAACAAACTAGTCATTAAATTCAGGATATTATATTAGTATATGTATTACCCACATTTTATACATATTTACATACATATGTATGATGAATGTATGTGCAGTGACTCAGAGAAAATCAAGTCTCTCTTTCATTTGCAGGTAAAATCTAGAGCCAGAGGGTAGCCAGCTGACTCAGCGCCATTTATTGCAAAGCCCATTCTTTCCTCACCTTGGTCACAAATTAGGAGATCATACATGTGTGAGAAGGTCTCTTTAGGGACTCTGCCTTCTTCCATTATTCTATTTGTCTCTCTTTGTACTAGCAACACATTTAGCTCTGACCATCCAAGAATACTATTAAGAACTTTAACCACAAATTCATTAGAAGTTTCTCTGGTTCATGAAAGTAACACTGTCTGAGGATTAAAAACTCCAAAGTCTGTGAGGGCCCAGTAGGCAATGAAATCAGTTAGCAGTCAAGAGGAAGACAATAGGGAATGGCCAGGACTGGAGGCCAGAGAGCACATGTCCTACCCAGAGGTTTAAAGGCACTCGCATTGGGAAACAACTAAAAACTTTTCCAGACCCAGTCACGCAGTGGCACAGTGGCAGCACAATGCTCTGCAATTCTGATAGCCATATGGAAGGCTGGGGTTCAGCTCTCAGGTAGACCTGGACACACAGGGCATATGCATGCTCATGATCCTTGCTGGCTGGGAAGGCTGTGGGGAAGATCATGGCATGAGGCCCTGTTGAGGGTGCTTGTATGTTTTTCCTCTCTCTCTTTCTCCTTCTTTCTCATGAAAAAAATAGGAAACTGAACTTAAAAACAGAAACAAAACAATTCCTGGGTGAACACATGACATAGGGGTTAAGGGAACTGGATCCCATGTGGCCAACTGTGCAGTTCTAATCCTAGTCCAGTGGCTTGAAAATCACACCAGGCAGGTGTACATGCATGGTCCAAATCCTGAAAGAATGGAGAAATGGAGGAGAAGGGCTTGCAGCATGATTATGTCCCACTAGAGGGGGTTTTCTTCCTTTCCCTCTCTCTTTGTTGCTCTGTCTCTCTGTGAATGCATGTGCCCTCAAGAAGATTTAAAACAAATAAACAAACAAACAAAAAACTTCTTCCAGAAGGATGAGGGGGTGAGCTCATTCTGACAATATCTCCAGTTCTTGGTAAAAATAATGAAGTGTTCCGGGAGACTGGAACCCTAGTGCTGGGTCTTGCTCCACAGCACTATTCCATGAAGACATGAAGGGTGGTGGGGGCAGTGTACTATTAAAGCCAAGAAAAGAAATACACGAATTTGTTTCCCAAACTTGAAAAACTAAAAGTAGGGGACAGTGTTTAAAGTAGAATCAAAACAGATCAAGAATATTAAAGCAAGAATTCTTTTTATGGAGAGGTGTTTTGTTTCTTTGTTTATTATAGAGCGCGTGTGCTCGCCAGAAAGACAGAGAGATACAGAGACAGAAAGCGAGAAATCACCCCCCAGGGGGGATGGCCACGCTGCAACCCCTTCTCCTCCATTCTCATCTCGGGATCTTGGGCACACACACACGCTCCCCGTATGAGTTTAAGCCACTGGGTCCGGGATTCAAACCGCAGTCAGCTACATGGGAGTTCAGCGACATAACCATTGCACTAACTGCTGGTCCCAAGCAAGAATTCTTTTTTTTCTTTTTAAGCAACAATTTTTAACTTGGAATTCCCTGAATCCTATTTAAAAATTTAAATATAGGGAGATTCTGGATACTTCTCTCATGAAAATCATAAAGAAACTAGTTACCTAACAAAAGGGGTAAGAAGTCTAAAATTATGTGGATATGTTTTATAAGCATGTAATAAAGTTAAATAAAGTTATAAAGCATTTGCTACAAGAAATTGTTCAAATTTAATTTCTAGCAAATGTAGTTTTAAAGAAATTTGGAGTATTTTGTCATATACCCTAGATTGTTGGCTTAATGTTAGAGAGAACTAATGATTTTTCAAACCCAGTCCTTCATGCTAGAATCAGCAAGTTGAGCTGTCACTAACTGTCCAAGAACAGCATGTTTTAGCCTGCTATAAGGTTAAAGGGTAACAGTAAGGGGAGGGGCAGGTGGGCTGTGAACTCTGAGGCAGAAGGTTCACGTACTCAGTGACCTTGGGCTGATGATCTCATCTATCTGAGACTCAGTTTCCTCATCTATATCTGGGCAGCATAAACTAGGATGAGAATTAAATTATGGGGAAAAAAAGTAATTCTTTGATATTGATCATCCACTTACCCTTAAAATAAGGATATCAGTTCTGGACCAGCTGGTGGTGGTGTCAATTAGTTAAGTCAGCTGGATCCCACATAGCTGTGTCATTCGGTTCCTGAACATGCTAGCTTAAAAAATATGTCAGGCACATGTGAATGCATATCCGAAATCTGAAAAGGAGAAATAGTTTGGGTCCTAGACCTGGTCCTGGACCTGGTGGTTTAAAAAATATGCAAGCACATGTGCATTCATGTCCAAAATCCAGAAAGGGAAAATGGAGCAGAAGAGATTACAGGGTCACCATCCTCTATGAGGGGTGCTTTCTCATTTTTCCTCTTTTTCTCTCTTTGTCTTTCTCCAGTGAACACATACACTCTCTATCAAATTAAAAAAAAAAAAAAAGAATACCTGCTCTTCCAGGGATTTTTATGTATTTTCAGTGAAAGATGTTAGGTATGTAGTAGTTACAGGACTTACCTGCTGCAAGTTTTGAAATTTTCTCTCTAGATCCACAAGCTAGTGGTGAGGGAAGGAAAAAGTATCAATTAGATGGTTCAGAGTTATTTTGCATATGATTTTATACCCTTGACATATTTTTCTAATACCCTCTTGGCAGAAGGCATCAGGAATTTTCTGTTTATTCCTATCTTTGTTGCCTTTTCCCTCCTCATTCCCTTCTTCTCCAGGCTTCCCTTCCTATTTCCTATTATCACAGATTTCTTTTTTTAAGAAACATATTTTTTAGAAGAAGTACAACCCGCTGGTAGGTTGACTGAATGATTCTCTGCCCATAGTCACTATGGGAATTTCTATAAATGACAGTGATGCATCTACTACACCAAGAACAAGGTTGCTCTCAGAACTTGTGCAAGACCGACGTACACAAGTCTCAGCCCCAGCATTCCACCTTCTGCTCAACACTACTCCTACATGCTACACTAAAGCAGTGCTGTTTAACCAAAAACCCCATCATTAAAATTCTGAATCTCTAAAGAGGACACATAGTTGGAATAGCCCTTGCAAAACGGTTACTTATGAAGATGAATTAAAGAGAACACATTTTTGCTTAGACGCCAGACTTACCCTGGAATTAAGCTGGTGGATCTGACTAGTTATATTTTGAGGCAGAGCATTTGCACTTCTTCTTAACTCTGTAATATCATCTTTATTTGTCTGGATCTATTTTTTTTTTAAGGAGGAGAAAAACAAGTGAAAAAAATTATGTATGTCTTGTAGGAATATGATTTTAAAACCTGAGTAGTATTCTATTTTAAGCACCAAGATCTTGCCTAGCATAATGTCATAAGGCATAAACATTTGACTAAAAGCCATGGTGTGATATAATTCCACTTAACCTTTCAGTGACAATATACCAATATATTTACTATTTGCATTTTTTCCATAATAACTGTTTGGGGTTTTTAATTAAGAAGCCTGGCTTGGAATCAGACTGTTGAGGTTTAAATCCTTGGCTCAGGCATTTATTATGCATCCTTGGGCAAACATTAAACATTCCCTTACCTCCCTTACACATGGGGTAATAAATAATAAAGCCTCACAGGGTAGCTATGAAGTTAAAAAAGGAGATAAAGCATATAGAGTGTTAAGCACAGTGGATGGCCTATCAGAATCTCTAAATAATGCTAGCCTCTAACATTCTGACTCATATACCATCATAATGTAGTAAATGTTGAATCCTGAAAACATCCAATACGGCAGAGAATAACTGGCCAATTCTGTTTTATGGCAAAAGTAAATTGGTCACATTTACACATTCCTCTGGCCCCCTCTTTTTTGTCTCTTTTGAGGAGGAGTTTTAGTAATACCCTCCAAACCCTCTCTTCTCTGAACTTGGGTACATTTCCCTGTATAGTGAGCTGCTTTCTGCTAGCATTACTCCTTCTGCCTACCATTAACCCTAGGTCATTTTTCATTAATTAAGAACTCTTCTTATTTCTTCTGGGTTGTCAGAAAAGTCATGATGTATTTTTGCATAAAAAAAATATGTCATGGGACCAGCAGTTAGCGTAATGGCTATTTGGCTGACTCCCATGTAGTTGACTGCAGTTCAAGTCCTGGACCCGGGGGAGCGTGTGCATGCGTGCCCAAGATCCCGAGAGGAGAATGGAGGAGAAGGGATTGTGACGTGGTCATTCCCCCTGGGGGGGGGTGATTTCTCACTTTCTGTCTCTCTGTCTCTCTCTGGAGAGCGCACGCGCTCTATAGAAAAAACCTCTCCAAAAAAAAATATATATATATATATATATATGTCATGTCTTTTCCAATAACCCCATTGTTATGTTTTCTGCATTAAAGATTTTAAGTATAGATTAATATAGACCTGTTCAATTAAGTCACCATATATGAGTACACAGAATGACTTTAATATATTTTCAGAGCATTACCTGATGTAAACATTCACTGAGGTCTTCATCATTTAATTTAATTTTTCCCAGAGATCCAGTTCTAAATTCAATGTTTTTAGTAGATCCTGAAATAAACACTAAATTTCCCCTCTCTGTAGCCATCCGAGGCCTAGGTAATTCAAACCAGAGAATGTATCAGTAATTAACATATGTAATTTTTAAATCTAAACAACAGTTTCTCACAGAATAACCACAGATTTTATATATATATGTTCATTTTGTAGTAAACTCAACTAAATTCTCCCCGCTCTTCTGCCATTTCTTTCTTTGCAAATTTCCTGGTGATGTCTCCTGGTAACTGCTTACTTGGCATATTTACAAAATGATAAATAAATTTGTTTACAAAGAGGTAATGTCATATATCCATAAAAATTCTTCCCTCTTTTTGCTATTTAAGGTAATTTTTTTCCTCAAGAAAAATTACACCTTTAGTTCATCTGGCTATATGCAAAAACTGGTAAGGAACTGTCCTAGACCATCAGCAGAAATAATCTATGTGCCCACTTACTGTTGGAGATCAGTGTTTCTTTTTTGTCGCTGCAGTTCAAGTCCTCCAGCTTCACCATCTAATTCAGCAAAAGTCAATAAAGTAACCAAACTCAAAAAAAAAGGTGAGGACATACTTCTCACCAGCCTCCTAAGATGTCATGTAAGAGGGAGGCCACTGCAACCAACTGAGTGTGGGAGTTTGGAGAATAGCAAACTAGGCAGGTGTACTTTGACCCATGGGATATTCTGTAACTTTTCAGTTCTTTCTTCTTCACCCTAGAAGGCTATGTTACTTTTTCTTTCTGAGGATGTAAATGATCTTTGATCTTTGGTACTCTTCAACTTGTGAGAGGTCAAAATCTACCTTAAGTGATGCACAACTTAATCATTATCTGTTTGACCTTTGAAACAGTAACAAACAGCTTTGGAAGCATCCACTAAAACAATCCTTCTTATGGGGTAGCCACCTTTCAACAAATGGTACAGGGAAACGGAATATCCACATGAAATAAAGTTGGACTCTTATCTTGTACTATATATAAAAATTAATTCAAAATGGTTCAAAGACATAAATTTAAGAGAAAGAAAATTGTAAAATCCTTATAAGAAACATAAGGAAAAAGTTTTATGACCTTGTATTGACAATGATTTATTAGGAATGACACCAGAAGCATAGGCAACCAAAAGATAAATTGAACTAAGTCAAAATTAAAAATGCTTATGTATCAAAGGACATTATCAGTAGAGGGAAAAGGCAATTCACAGAATGAGAGAAAATATTAGCAATGGGAGAAAATATTTGCAAATCATATACCTGATAAGTGGATAATATCCAGAAAAAACAAATTATTCTCACAACTCAGCAACAAAAACAAACAACTCATTGCTTAAAATGGGGAAAAGATCTGAAAAGACATTTCTCTGAAGAAGATATGTGAATAACTGAAAAGCACATCAGAAAAAAAGAATATTCAACACTGCTAATTATTAGATAAATGCAAATTAAAACCACAATGAAATATCACTTCACATCCATGAAGATTTTTTTTTTTTTTTACAAAAGTTACACAACAACAAAGTAACAAGCATTGGTGAGGATATATAGAGATTGGAAATAAATAAAACAGTGCAGCTGCTGTGTAAAACACTCTGGAAGTTTCTCACAAAATTAAACATAACATTCACACATGATCCAGAAATTTCACTTCTAGGTATATAAGGCGACTTCAGAGGGTACATGGAAAAATGGAATTAAAGTATGAGTTTATTTTGGTTCAAAAAAGTTTTTCAATTTCATGCATAGTGTTTTCATAATATGCATTTCCATAAACTTTTTGAAGACCTCCCCATGTACCTCAGAGAACTGAAAACAGGAATTTGAAGATATATTTGTATGGGGACCAGCAGTTGGCATAATGAAGAGATATTTGTATGACTATGTTCAGAGCAGCATAATCAAAAGGTGGAAGCAACCCAGGTGTTCATCAACAGATCAGTAGATAAACAAAATGTGGTATACCCACAATAAAGTATTGCTCAGCTAAAGGACAGAGGTCTTGACACATGCTACAATGTGAATGGATGCTGAAGACATAAGGCTAAGTAAAGTAAGATGGTTACAAATGGACAAATCTGTATTTCTACTTACATGAAGTTCCTAAAGTGGTCATATTCATATAGGTGAAAAGCAGAATGGTGATTGTCAGAGGTAGAAATAAGGAAGAGTGAGGAGTTACTGTTCAATGAGTATAGAGTTTTCATCCTAGATTTACTGGTTTCAAAAATTTAGAAAGACAATCTAAGGAAAACTTTGAAGTGCCATCTAAGATTTTAGATAGCATTGACATAAAATTATTCTTTTAAAATAGAGCTGTGCAGTTTGTTAATGTAAAGAAATGTAACTATTTTACACCCATTCTATTCAATCCCTACAACAAAATTAGCTCAACAAAACTAGTTCAATATCTCGACTTCTTTACTATCCACTTCTAATTCAATTCACTCAAATTTAATTGGGTTTGATTCCACTGAGTTCTCATTTTCAGAACAGCTCGTTTGTGCCAAACTTAGTCCTTTCCGTTGGGATGTGGAGTTCATAAAAGACATAGATCCTTGTCCTCATGGAGCTTGGATTCTGGGGCAGAAAAAAAAAATAAAAGCAATAAAGATGATAAAGAAATATAAACATGGAGGCCAGTAGGTCACATAGTGGTTAAAGGCACTAGACTCCCATATGATTGACTGTGGTTCTGGTCCTGGACCCAGCAGCTTGAAACTCACACCAGTCATGTGTGTGTGTGCGTGTGTCGCATGCTCAAATCCCAAGCAGACTGGAGGAGAAGGGACTATGGCATGACTATCTCCCCTGGGGAGTGATTTCTTGCTTTCTGTCTCTCTGGCTCTGTTTCTCCAGCAAGCACACGTACCCTATAGCAAAAATCTCTTTTAAGAAAAAATACAAACATAATAGTTTGAAATAATGATCAAAGTTGAGGGGAATATAAAAGTGGGACAAGACATAGAGTGAAGACATCAGGGATATCTTAGAGTGAGTGGACAGGGCAGGCTTCTCTGAGGGGGTGGCATTTAAGCTATAACCTGAAAAATACTGAAACCCATTCAACAAGACCCATGAAGCCCCCTAGCTAGGCTTCAGGAATCTTTGCTTTCATCATCTCTGTGGAATCAGTAACTGCCTATAAAATTTACTACTACTTTCAGACTGGTTTATACACTCTTCCAGTTGGATGATACAGATTTGTGGACAAGCTGTTGGTGTCTCACACTGATTCTGTGCTGAGACTATAGAAACCACGTAAACATTATGAAAATGTTCTACATGCTGGTCATAAAAACTGTTCTTAATGCATTTAAACTTTTCATGAGCACACAGTCACTACATGAAAAGCAAAACTGGATCTGAGGAACAACATTCTAAAGCTCCACTCCAAGGGAAATCTCTGGGCAATTACCATCATACTGGTTAATACTCATGTAGTTATGTAAGCTCTTTGAGGATGAGAAATATCATATAACATGGCATCTAATACTTTGCCTGCACTATTTAAATATTCAGTGCTTTTACGAGAGAAATTCACAAATTTCATGGAAAATGGAATTAAAGGTCAAAGAATCTTTTCACCAAGATGGCGCCGAAAGTGAAGAAGGAAGCTCCTGCCCTTCCCAAAGCTGAAGGACAAGAAGACAACGCTAAAAGGCATCTACAGCCACAAAAAAAAAAAAAAAAAGAAGAAGAAGATCCATACATCACCCACCTTCCAGAGGCCCAAGACTCTTTGGCTGCCAAGGCAGCCCAAATATCCTTGGAAGGGCACCCCCAGGAGAAACAAGCTTGACCACTACCCATTATCAAGTTCCCCCTGACAACCAAGTCTGCCATGAAGAAAACAGAAAACAACAACACACTTGTGTTCATTGTGGATATCAAGGCCAACAGGCACCAGATCAAACAGGCTGTAAAAAAGCTCTATGATATTGGATGTGGCCAAGGTCAACACTCTAATCAGGCCTGATGGAGAGAAGAAGGCATATGTGCAGCTGGCTCCTGATTATGATGCTTTGGATGTTGCCAACAAAATTGGGATCATCTAAACCGAGCCCAGCTGGCTAATTCTAAATACACACTTTCTCACCATAAAAAAAGAAAGAAAGAATATGGCAACTCGGCTCTTTGCCATGCCGTCTCACAAGACTTTCAGAATCAAGCAGCTTCTGGCCAAAAAACAGAAGCAAAGTCGTCCTATTCCCCAGTACATTAGAATGAAAAACTGGTAATAAAATCAGATACAACTCCAAGAGGAGACACTGGAGGAGCAAGCTGGGTCTAGGAGGAACTGGACAGGATATGGGCCACATATTTATGCTGTACCAAGGTTACTATGGTCTTGCCACATCAAGCTGAAAATGGTCACCACAGACTGGACACTTCTGTTTATTGGGAAAAAATTATGCTTCACTTTGTTTCTAAGTTCTGCATTGGTAGGTTGGTTCAGTAATAAATATGTGAGACCTTTTTTTTAAAAAAAAAAAAAAAAAAAAAAGGAATTAAAGTAAAATTTTTTTTTATTACAAAAAAAAAAAAGAAAGAAAGAAAAGAAATTCATGCATAGTTTTTTCATTACACATATTTTCCATGAACTTTTCCATGGTCCTTTACAAAGAACTTTCTAAATTGACTTTTTTAAAAACCTTCTAAATTTCTAGATAATTTTTTTGTATCCAGTTTTTTCTTCACTTAACACAAGGCTTTTGTGATTTACTCATGCTGTATTGTTTATCATGACTTGATTCCTTTCATTACTGAGTAGTATTTCACTGTAGGATTATTCACAATTTTGTTGTTCACTTATTAGTTGATATATGCTTGAATTGTTTCTAGTTTGGGGCTATTTTAAATAAAGCTGCCAAAAACATTTATGAACAGGTCTTTGGGTCTGCATATTTTCACTTCATTTGAATAAGTACTAATAATGGGATTGCTGAGACATACAATAAATATACCTTTAACTTTATGTTAAAGTGTTGAACTATTTTCCAAAGAATTTCCCCACATTAGGTATGAGTTCCAGTTGCTTCACATTCTCACTATCAATTGAGATTTTTAGTGTTTTTTATTTTTAGCCACTTTCTTGGGCATACAATGGGCATCTCACCATGGTTTTAATTTACATTTGCCTAATGATTAAAGATATTGGGCAACTTTTTATGTATATTTGGCAATTGCATATCTTCTTTAGTGAACTGCCAAATCTTTTGTTTATCTTAAAAAACTGAGTTCATGCAGTTCATATAGTCTGGATACAAGTGTTTGCAAATATTTTTTCTCTCAGTCTATAGCATTTCGTTTTATTTGCTAAATAGTATTTTTCAAGGACCAAAATAAGTGAAATACAAAAAACTACATACTTAGTGATCCCATATTACATGATTCTACATAAAAGTCTAGAAAAACCAAACTTCTATTAATAGAAAACAGATCAGAGGTTGTCTAAGGCCAGGAGTGGAGGGATTGATGGTAAAGAGTCATGAGGGAATGTTTAAAGGTGATAGAAGTGTATATGTGTGTGTGTGTGTGTGTATGTATAAAAATATATACACATATATACAATATCCAA